GTGGACCTAAGGTATTTAAAATCGGGCACTTCCTCGACCAGCAATGAATTTACAAAAAGAAGCATTTTATCAGCTTCTTATACATAAGACGAAAAGACTTTCATATACATTGACCTGAGTCTTATTCTTGCTACAATTTCTGACACGTTATTTAGCATTACTTGCATTTCATCATATCTGACAGCAAAAAGGACTACATCATCAGCGTTTTCAAGATCTATGATACGATACTCTGGACTGATTTAGACACCCCTTGAGTACCGACAAGCGGTGTCCATTACCCAATCTATCGCATAGTTGAATATTGCAGAGGAAAGGACACAATCTTGACGGACACTAGTTCTTATTTCGAAGGAATCTGTCAATTCATCTGTCCTCATATGCACAGACGCTCATAAAATGCCTTTATGAGTCGAATGACCTTCTCTGGAACACCGTCGCATTCCATCACCCTCCATAGTGTCGCTCTATCAATTGAATCAAAGGCAGCAAAGCCGATGAAACACGCAAATATCTGAAGCGATGCTCCAATACTCTTTTTAACGTGTATATCTGGTCAACACAACCGCACCCCGGTTTGAATCCAGCTTGATTAGGGCACATCCTGCTGTCTCGTATTTCCATAAGTCTGTTGAGTATAAGAAAAGCAAAAATTAAAGCTGAGATGTCTAGTAGGCTGATCCCTCGATAATTGTCGCAGTAATTGTATTGACATGCCATTACCTCAATTATGTTACGTGAATTTTGTGTTCATTTAATACGACTTCAGAAATCTTATTCTTGCGACATTCGATGGTATTGCAAATTATCATAAAAAAACAGTTCAAAACAAAGTTCTAAATAATATCTTTAACTTAGTTTAGTTTAGAAATATTCTGACTATAGTTTCCAAAAAAAGTAAATTAAAGAGTATAGAATTATCTCGAAGGTGTAAGCAAATGTCTTTATTCATTCTAATATTTTCAGGTAGAAAAAGTTAAAAAGTTTCCTAAGAAAATTTTTTTAATCTATCCACTGGAATCAAACTGAAGTGCAATATGTGAATTGATAATTTAATTGTAAAATTGTAAAATATCCTAAAATACGGTAACTAAAAGCTATGTTTTCATCAAAATCATCCACATTTGATGGATTAAAAACATTCGACTCGAATATCTTTAAATTGATCAGAAGCACATTTCATCGAAAAGAATAATTTTCAATTTTTCGATATTTATAAAGAATCCTCGAAATGGCTCGCCTTACATTCCACTTTAGAATGCTAAAAAAATAAAATTGTTAAAAATTGAATTACACAAAGGGTTATTGATAATGAATTGATATTAAATTGATATAATTAATTAATTACCGTTTTATTTGTATAAAATTTCCTCAAAAAGAATGATAGCAATTGTGGATCTATTTGATGATTAGCATCAGTTCCTGAAATTACGAGAAAGGTTGAATAAGTTTCCTTCACCAAAAAATCTTTTTATATTTCAATCTTTAGGGATGTAAAAACAAAGGTAGTTTTCAGAATAGTCCTCTAATAATTAAGGCTTATGATAATAGCGTGGTTCTGATGATATTTGCAACTTCATAATTGAAAATTTTCACCCCAAATTAGTCGAATTGTGCATTCAGCTATTGAAGAAACCAAAAATGCTACTAAAATAGCAATTGTAATGTAATATTGGTATGAAACACGAAAAAGCTGAACAAAGTATGAATTGCTGAAATGATTTACGATTTATTGCAGTAAAAGAATTAATTTCCTATCTTTTTTCGAAACAGCAACGCTTGATTTCTTTGAAATTGCTATTTTTAAAAATAAATCTAATTCAAGGCAATTCTAAAGATTGTAATAAAAACCTGTCTAATGGTTCTACCATACCATAGTGAGGATCACTTGCATTGAAAATAACAGTAGAAATGTTAGTTGAACCACAACTGCGATCCAGGGGCAGTGGAACAGGTCTTACACCCTCAAAAATTGATCCAAAAGCAATGAATAGGCAGAAAAATGTTGAGGAGAGTTGACCTAAACAACATGTCGAAATTTCTTAAAATATTCGAATGAGCTGGTACTGATATTCTTCATGCGATTTCCAGAGGCAAAAAATATATGAAGTAAGAATATGCAGAGAAAATGACTTATCGGTTACTTAGAGGAGTATTTCAGATTCATATGACATACCAATAAAGGCTGCTTGTTTCCTGACGAATGGGAAAAATATTCCCAAGCAGAAAATAGCAAGAACAGGCCCACTAGCCACTCCAAAAATTGTTAGAGATATCTGCAATACCTTATTTTCGTCTGAATAATATTACCGAAGAGACAATAATTTAATAAAGATTTCTTTGGTCAATTTTAAATAAATAACCCAGTTAGCAAACTAAAGACAAAATAAAAATGGAAAAAGTGGATAAAAAATCGGATTTTTTCGATGTCTTCCACTGATAGAACTATTAGATAAATTTATTTATAGTTTGCAAATACTGTTCATAATAAAAACTGATTTTTCCAGATCCGGAAAGAGCTGCATGCGGATTAGAAACCTTTTCTATCAGATCAAAATTTCATGCTAATCTCAAATATGGTGCTACGAAAGAAAACAGACGTAAAAACTTCAAATGTTAGTCATCCGTTGATTCTTTATAAATGCTTATAATTTATTTTATAATTTTACATTTATTTATATATAATTTATTTTATTATGCTTATAATTTATTTTATAATTATATATATATATATATATATATTTATTTATGTATTGCATCTATTGCATCTATGTATCTAAAAGGAGCTGCTATGAACCGCTTCTGCTGAATTAATTTTATTATCATTATATTTTGCAGGCTGATGAATTAAATGAAATTGGGAAGAAAATAGCGGCGTTTAATCAACAACTAAGTGGAAGCATTTGCTGAATTTGAAAAGTATAATTATTTTTTTAAAGAATATCTGGGAAATGATGCGGTAAATGCGGTCAATTTGGTTTAAGGTAATAATATATGATGCGTGAATAAGTCTTGTTTTTTTCCTATCTTTTAAATGAATATTATGCAAAGAAATTTATGCATGCCTGTGAGAATAAAATATGCATGCAAGGCTTCTGATACTTAGATTTCCGTTGATATTTAGAATTTTTGTTTGGTAGAATGTTGTATTTTATGAATGTCTCTCTATGATCCCTAATTTAATATCCGTAAGTAGCTATCCTTTCTTTGACGAAGCTTATTCCTTAAAGTCCCCTTGATTATGACAGTCGAGTGGCTTTCCTAACGCTTAAAAATTTTGCATCAATTGTTAAATCAGGTGAACATAAAGTAAATATGAAATGTGTTCATTTGACTATTGAATTTATGATTTTTTGTAAAAAACTGAGATGTAATTTCTACGATGTTAGCTCGTAAATTTTGTAAGGATACTTGAAAGAAGATAATCCGACAAAGAGCTCCCGAGCAACACTCCCATGGGGCCATCCCTTGTTCGAAGAAGCCTATTCTTCAACGACCCCTGGTTAGGTCATTTGGTTGGGTCTCCTATAAAGTGTGTAGAATGAACACGGGATAAATATGTTCATTTGACTATTGGATTTTCATGATTTTTTGTGAAGAAGTGAGATGTATGGTTTGATTTGTACGGGTTTCTTCTGTGAGTACTTACTTTTCTTGAATAAAAATATTGCCAAGTAAACTGAAGAACCTAAATGGGAAATTCTTCGTATGGAAATTATTATAAAAATAAAAAATGAAATAGGGATGAAACAATTCCTTAAAGTATCAAAGAAAATTCGCATCTTCCAACAAAGAATAATTCTTAGTCTACTTATTTCCATTAAAATACGAATTATTCATAGCTGCGATGCCTTTGTGCGACTGGATGTTTATTTTGATTGAAATGCGAAATTGCAAATTTTAGTGACAACTTGTTCATCTCTAAACAGCGACTTGTAGAGACGAAAAACAGCCGCAATTAGAGCCACAAATAGCTGTGGCGGTGGGCTTCGAACAACAATAATGCGATAGTACGCAAAAATTTGCGGCTATTGTAGATAATCCGTACAATTATTCATTCATATTTTATTAACACTTTTAAAATTGCCTCAGATTCTCATTCATCATAATCAATTCATTATACACTGAAATATTTTTAGAAAAATATTGAACATTACTTAGTATACAAAGATTATTTGACTTAATGAGATATCAGCAAAGTAGAGATATAATTTAAATTAATGGGGCTACAAATCAAGAAAAGGATTCAAAGGTTTGTTGATTTTACGATGGGCGAAAACATGGAAAGAAACCTCTGAAAAATAAAGAAGAATGAAGATACGGATACATTTTATATATTTTTATTTTCATCCAAATTTTTCAGTTAATAAAATTTTGAACATCAAAAATAAACTTTTATGCCAATAATTCGAAACCTGCTGGTTTTTCCTGATTTCCTTATAAGACTGCATTTTTGCGGAGAATATTTCAAGGGAAAATGTTTGCTATTTTTTGCCTTAAACTATTGTTGTTACTTTAAAAAGCTTCCTATTCTTTCATATTGAGTGGTATTAGCGATATACAAATATATAGATATGTAAAACTTTTGCATATAGTTTAATTTTTTGAACACAGTTTAATAAATTATTTTTATTTAGATATCGAATTTGAATCTTTAAAAGGCGTGAAGAAGGCGGGTAAAGAAATGATGAAAATTATGGGGTTTGCGGGCTTCATTGCTACTAAAAATAAAAAAGAAAGTTGTGTAGATTTCTACTGCTCACCTTGACGTCAAAATCAGATGATGGATTCAGTAAGTTTTCTGTTCTCACCAATAAGCCACGCAGATATCACCAATATATGAATAGAAATGGTGGATTTAATAGGCCTTTTGATTATGTCGCTTAATGATTGTTACTCGATATATTTTTGCAACATATTGTTCTGATTTTGAAAACAATCTGTGAATGGAAAGATGGGAATTAAGTCGCGTGAAAAAATTTGTAATCATTTTTTATTTGTATATTATTTGTATTTTCCATTCCCATATTTTTGATAAAGTAGGAGAAAATATTGACATTGCATCGTGAGTGGGTAATGGCAAAAAAAGAAAGGAAGACACACCACTCTTATTTTGTGATAAGAAAGATGAAAAATTCCTAGCATACTTATTTTTATTTATATTTTGAACCAATAAAATTTTAGTTTCGAATGTTGTTTTTGAACATAGAGATTTCTTCTCATTCATTTTGGTATATTTTCATTCAAAATATTTAATGTTTGATTTAAATATTCGAGTATTGAGTATTGAAATGATAGAGTACACTGACAGATAGTTAATTAAGTGCCTGAAACTTATGCAAAGGCTAAAACTGATGAAGAACATTATCAGAACATATTCTCCGCTATCAGATGATGGTTGAGGTGATGATTAAAGGCGAAATTTTTTTTGATTCTTATTTAATTTTTGAAATGTTGAGTTTAACGAGTTCCTCCATTAAAAATATTTTTTCATTCCTTCTAGAATTTGGATTAACTGAATAGGTCATTCCCAGACATATTATAAGAAATATTCTTGGAAGGCATCGCACATCTAAGGTTCGTGAAGTTTCACAAAACGACCTTGCAGTTTTGGTTAATTTATTAGTTTACTTTCTACGTTTTTTTTTGGAAAGCAACTATAATAGTTATTTATATATTTGTCTAATTTTTTCATAATTTTTTAATTCTTAAATAATTTTTAAAATAATTCTTCATATAATTTGAAAACTCAACGCGACAATGGAACAAATGAAACAATATGTTAGACGTAACGAAGAGCAAATGAAAGGAGAAAAAGAAATCTGGAAAAAACTAATTGAAATGGGAAAAAAGGAGTTAATTCATTGAATATTTCTTTCCTAAAAAAAAATGTCACTTGGAGGTATGGAAGTACGAGGTCATTTGATGATGGAGATTTAAAAGCGCAATCCACTTTTTAACGGTTGTTTTACTACGAAGAGATCAAATCTGTGCTGTGAATTTTCAGCCGAGCACTTTTTTTATTAAAAAAGAAGCGTTATCAAGAGAATATGCTTAAACAGCTTGTCAATATGCTTAAACAGACCAAATTGACATGGTCGTATGTTCCATTTTCCTTAATATTCGCTGAAAGTCCATTTTTTCTACAGGTTTCTCAAAAATAAAAAATGAAAAATGTAAACGTCTTATGCGTTAATCAAAATCAAACAGATAAATTAGTATTAAAAATTTGAATTCCTTTTTTTCATTCAATGAAGAAAAAAATTTATTCGCAATGGATTACTTTTCATATGCTTTCCTTATCTTAAATTTTTTTCTGCTTTTTTTGCTTTTTTTAAGTTTTTAGATTAATGATTTAGAGTGATTTTCAGTTTGCTGCAATAGAAGTTTAAGACGAGTTGTAGATGAATTAAGAAAAAGGGTAACAAATTAATTGAAGTGAACTTTTCATTGTGGAAGTTTTTTTTCCAAGTTTTTGCTAATGTGATTTTTTTTTCAAAAAAGCAAAGTACATAAGTATATAAGTATATAGTTAATTAAGCATTTGTCATGAATTTGTAATATAGTGAAGTGATGTCGTAGTTAAATACCACCAGCGATTGGACTTTTGTGTTAAGTCGAGTCGAATTGAGTGGTGCTAGGTTGGGACAAGTTGTGAACCAACCAAGATACACCAATTTTTATTCGGTAAAAACGCAACACTGATTTAACATAACAGGGTTCATATTCCATTGATAGTGAGAGTGGTTTATATCAAAAATTCCAAGCATTGTAACTAATCCAGATCCAGTTAGAAGATTAGCGTGTCAATTGGAAATGCATTTCCCGTATAACAGGAATACAAAGATATGAGCTTTAGATAAAAACAAAAAAAAACATGGGAATTTGACGGGAAATAATCTAAGAAATGCAAAATGACTCATAACAGAAAACATATATTTGATTACTTATTTGTTTAGAATTTGGTGGGAGTTTCGCGATATTAGAATTCGGGACAGCATTACTGGTTAGGTCGCTTCGCTCGCTTATCTGATCAGTTCTTAAAGTTGAATTGATAGATTTTTAATCCTGCCGGATAGAAAAGAATATGGATATAGAAGTTAAGAAAAGAAAGTGACTTTAAAATTTTTAGCCAACCTATTGAACTATTTTACTTCCTTTTGCTTTAACCATCATTGTTGTCCTATGAAGCGAGGTTTGTCTGCTATTTTTAAGTATTTTGCTTCACTTCCATTAGATATTTTTTGAATTTTTATAATGTACAGATATCTCAGCAGCTTATATTATATTTACACGCTCAATTGAGATTTAAAATTTCGAAGGAGAAATGAATTTTAGTGGCAAAAATATTCAAAACGCAACTGCAAAGCAGATTATTTATTGAGAAGGATTTTCGTTATTCCGGAAGATAGATTCGAGGTCGAAATAGTTAATTAATTTCAATTTATCAGCATATTATCAGAGCCATAGGAAATCCTCAATGATAACTACTGATATTATTAAATTTTTACTATCCTAAAAAATTCATTAGTCGTTGAGTATTCAGTGTTTGATTTTACCAGTTATTTGTATATAAACTGGTATCTCCTAAATATAAGATATAAATTGGAACTTTTGGCTGCCTTTTTATTAGCTAAGCCAGTTTCTTCTTGCAAATTGTTTAATTAGCTCAAATTATTTAAAATTTAAAATACCCGATCATCTAGGAAATACGACGGAAAATTTGTTTGTCCAGCAACTTATATTGTTCGAATAATAAAAATTGTTGATTTTTGCAAGTCCACTTTTTTTTTAGTGTTAATTTTATCGATGAGAAGCTTTTTGTAGATACGCCAGCAATTTTCATCGAAATGAAAAACAAAAATCATGCAATAGCCAGTTACCTGAAAAGAAATGTTATTACTATTTTCTTCTTGGATTACTGGGAATGCTTTTTGGTTTGCTCAACGAAGATTTTTCCAAGAATTTTATGATTTATTTATTTATTCAGTTATTTAGAAAATGGTTGAAATTAAAATTCAAATAAAATATTGTTTTTTGTGGATCCAGATTGGCCAATGCTTAGGGCGATTCTATGAGTTAATAATACTTTCAGGCCAAATTTAATCCTTTTGCTACGCGTCCAAAAGATTATAATCGTATAACAGAAAAGAATTCGACAGCCATAGAGGAAAAAATTTTTCAATTCAGATGCTATGAAATCACTTATCACCTATCAGATAGTATATTTATCATTTTTTGTTTATAGTCAAATGGATCAATCGAAAATCACTGCCATTATTTTTATTTTTCAGCAAATTGATGGATTTTCCTAGCGAAATGTTTCAAAAAATTTTGGTGCTCCTTTACATTGGCCGATTTGTTCATCTATAAGTAACGTTCCGAATCAAGGATCGTGTGGATCGTGCTATGTAATTGCACTGCAATTCTCTCAAAAAAACATTGATTAGCCTATTTTTTGTTGGCTGTCTATTCGTGGTTTGAAAATTTTACGGCTGATACGATGAAAAAAGGAAACTATAGAGGTCTATTTAGGTTCTTAATGGGTTTACTACTGGTAAGTGGCAATTACTATTTATAAATTTTGCAGTGCAATGGTTGATTAAATCGAACGTCGATTCGATCTATTCGAAAACAGGGATTCGATATAATATAAATAATATTATATATAATATATTATATACGTTATATTATATAATTTATTTCTGTTCAAGCAATTTTTTATCAAGAACTTATCTGTTCCAAGTCGATATAAGTTTTGTCGATATAAGATATAAGTTACCATGTTCCTTGTCGTCACTCTCGTTTTATCAAAAATCCCTTTTGGGCTCTTATATCACTTTTATTTTTTTTGGATTTTTTAAGGTGGCCTTAATGAACGGTAACAATTTCATATTTAATATATCAAAATATATCAATATATCAATAATATATCAAAATAGATTGTCTAATTTTAGACGCGTAAAAAATAATGGAATAGATTCCTTTTTTAAATTCCTTTTTGATAGCTTGAGACGATGGCATGAAATGACTGCTATCATGTTTGAAAAGATTTAAGATTCGATCCTTTCTGAGTAAAAACAGTTTAACGACTCCCTTTCAGAGGAAAATTGTGTAATCTCATCAATGTGTAAGCTACTTTTGCAATGACCATAGTTTCTACATATACCATATGTAGAAATTCAACTGCAAACGAAAAAATGGTATGGTTTGAGTTAAGGAGATTAAAATAAGCTTATAAATTATGATGCCATAGCAGACTTTTTTGGCAAATATTGCATTGGACCGATGCACTTTTTGGATGAAAGATGTTTACGCCTTGCTTTACCAAAGAGCATGGAATTTTTGCCATCAATACGTGCTCTCGGTGTCGAAGAAGGGATCTTCATAGAATTATCCGAAAACCAATTCTCAACTAGATTGGTCATGTCTTGATCAATCATCGGACAAAGAATTCTGCTCTATTGAAACTGTCGAAACAATTCGATGATGTAAATTTTAACGACACCTCTGGATCGATCGATAAACATTGATCTCCACTATAGGCATGTTTTCGTTCAAATGTGAATCTAAGGTGGGCTAGTTGGCTATTGGAAGCAATGTTCCAACTGACCGAAAAGGCTACCAGATTACGCATATCAATCTAGGAAGGCATGCTTCAATAGCAGCGATATAGAAGTCATTATGGAATGAAACATTAGACGATAATTGGAAACTATTTCATTTCCTTCAGCAGTTGTAATCCGAGAAACAATCAGTGAAACGATCCAAGATATAAGGTGTAGAGCTCTGGCTGCATTTTTCGGTGGAGGGAAATCTTTGGGACTAAACTTAATGATAATGTGTCATCTCTGTTTGTTTATAACTGTGAGCCGCTAAGAACGCAAGAAACAGTCATCCAGAAGGCCAATAAAATTCTTAGAAAGAACACTTGAAATCTTCAACCTCCTTCACAACATGTTCAACGGGTACATTCTCTGATATAAAGAGGCTCATACCAGATGAGTGGAGCAAAACAATTCTGCTCCCATTTCCCAAGAAGAGTCATGGAATATACTGCGACGGCTATCGAGGAATTAACCTGCTAGGCAAAAATAGAAAATTTTCGCTCTGCTGAAATAGGCTTATGACAGTACGAGGCAGCAGGAGATGGCCTAATCAAGCTGGATTCACACAGATAACAATAAAATGCTTAGAGAATTGAAACTTCTATTACCGGCAACCGTCATGATTTTGCGACTGTTCTCGAATTGATAAATCGTCGCTTTTGAGGGAATGCGACGGTGCTCCAGAAAAGATTACTCCACTCATAAAGGCATTTTATCAACGTGACTTTGGATTAGAAGCACCACTTGCGGGCACTCAAGAGGTGCAGAAATTAGTCCAAAGCATAATAACATAGATCTTGATGACGCTGTAGTCTAGCTACTAATTGCGCAGTATAAGAAATAATAATATATAAATATATACAATACTATACCAACAAGTGTAGCAAAAATTGCAGTCATGATCAATATGATTAAATAATATGAAAGGCATAACATCAGATCCGGCAGCTTGCAAAAGTGTTCAGCATAACCATCCTATTCATCCTAATGGTGAGAATAACGGCACCACAAATTTTCAAATTTTGTATTACAAGAAGAAATTTGGGATGCCTTCTTTTCTCCGTCTTCTAACAAGTTTTCTGATTTAGTTCCATTGTCTGCTTGTGAGAGGATCCTTATCGATCGAAAACTCAAAAGCTAGAAAAATGCAAAAGACACGAAAGATTTATGTAAAAAAAAGAAACGTTGAAATTTCATTCAGAAAATTTGCATATTTCATATTTCACAAAACTGTAAATATTTCATTATTTAAAATAATTCTCGCGGTTGTTCATAGCAAATATATATGACGAGTTTCTTTCTTCAGTCCGGTGCTTTATCCATCATCATCCGATTCAAAATCATTAATTACAATGCCAGCAATCAAAAGTTTGTCTTTTTACGTTTCCTCTTTTAACTTTCTTTTCCTACTCTTTTCCTTTTTACATTTATTAGAATCGACTTGTTTATTTAATAACATAGAAAATAATGGCCTAAACTGCATAAAAATCCTGAAATTCAAAGCAGCTTATTTTAAAATAAATATTTTTTTTTAAAGTACGGCGATATAATTGCAGTCATTTTGTACATTTACAGAAGTAAAATGCTAAAAAAAATATTACATAAATTTTGCTAAATAAGTGTCATCTATCCTAAGAAGCTTCGACGAAACAGTTTTAGTGGAATCGAAATATAGAGACAAATAATGCTATGCTAATGAGCACTCATACATTCTGTGGAAAATAAGTATATGACAATTATGAGTGCGCATACCATTAAAAATTTCAAGCTTTTTGTATTATATTTTGCCTTTTATTTATATAATATCTCTTGAAAAGATTTATGCAAACTAAGTTATTTCAAATAAAGCCATTCATTCAAAAATTTGCTATTCTTTTACTATTTATTATTTTTATTATTAAAATTTACTATTTTTTAAAGATTGCTTTTTTTTCTGAACTTCAGATTGTTTAGTTATTGTTAATTACTATTTAATAGCAAGAATTTTCGCTGCTGAACTGAAATAGATTATTTAAACTTTTTTGTTCTTCGATTTTCATTTTTGTGAAACATTTTTATTTAATAAGCTCGAGACAAGGAAATATTTTCAGTTGTATTTTTCGGAAAATTTTTGATTGTCAGTCGATTATCCTTTTATCATTTTTTTTGCAATATGGTTTAAGTTTTAACAGTTAAATTGCTGAAATATTTCGTTTAATACTCTGATTTCATAGAATAGTTCACTTGGGGAGAAGTACAACTGAGTCCCTAAAATTAACCGACTCGTTTAAAGAATTTTACGAAATTTTTTGAACCAAATATTATTGTAGTAACGTAATGAAAAAGTTGCACAGCTGAAAAATAATTAATTTGACGTTCGTTGTACCTCGGACATTTAATTCAATATTTTTATTTTTTGCTAATGCCAATGGAAATTTCACAGCACTTACATGAACGAACTTTGTAAATCTGTTCGTTTTTTTTGCCAGTCATGACTGATAAGTTAAATTGGTTAAATTTTTACTTCTAAAGTTTTCATCGCCGGTAGTTTAAAAAAGAAGACAAAAAAGAAATTATATTGCATACAAATTTTTAATTCTGCTTTGAAACTTCTCGATATGACACGATTTAAAACGATTCAATAGGCCACAGGATGTATATAAAACGAAATTTCAATTCTCTCGTTACAAAAAAATTTTATTTTAGATAGGGAAACATCAAAATATGAACGAACTTTAACATCAGTATCATCACTGTTGAATTTTTTCGCACCAAACATTTTCGCACCAAGATTTATCGCTCCCAACCTTGGAATAATTCCAGCGATATCCACTCCTGTAAATATTAGTTCTTATTAAATTTTGGCAAAAAATTTAAAATCGTTTGACTTTGGTTCATTTGATCATATGACTTAGATTGTTTGATGCTTTCGATTATAGACGAACCAGATAATTAATCACAACAGACGACATTTAAACGGCGCACACGAATCTAGTTTAACATTATTATCAGCTGATTTTAAGTTGCTACTAAAGAAAATTAATCAAAAATCTTCAAGTGCAATTGTTAGTTTTTTTTCAGAAACGAATGACCTAAATCATAATGAACTAGCATAAATAAATTAGATTTTTTTAAATCGCCAAGATTAAGAATAAGAATGAGTTCGAACTCAAATTAAGAGCTCCAAGACAAAATGACATTTAGTAAACTTGATTTTAAATAAGGTTTGCCTATTAATTTTGACTGAAGTGCAATTTCAGATCGACAAATCTTATTTAAATCCAAGTTGTGGTGCTATGATAGTCACGAGACATTCCGAAACTGGACGCATAGATGTGCGCATCGAATATTCCAGAGAGTTCATGCTTGCCGCTTCTGCAAGTCCATATGCATTGCTGGCATTTGATAATCTCCCTAAAATATTAAATGAACTACCAGAAGTGATTACGACTTTTCCTAAAGATTTCTACAGTACTTATATTAACAAAGAAACTAGATTTACATCCATTTGAATAGGTTTCATTTACATCGATTGTCACACTTTTTAGAGCGAATAATGATTCCATTTTTCTGCTTTTCATAATTTAAGATGAACATGGACAAATATTATGCGTGACGAAAATGCATGGCAAAAACAATTAAGCATAAGATTATAAAAATTTTTTCCGTTTTGAAATGGCAGGATCCTGAAAAAGTCCTTAATCAATTGCAGCTAAGGTTCTTTTATGACATTTGGCAAGTGTTAAAGGCATATTTAGTTTTTGGCCAACGCTCGCTGAGAAATAAATGACTTTTTTTTACATATCATATTTCTTTAAGAGAACAAAATTTTTGGCCTCGATTAGTTATTTATGTAACTTAAATAAACTCGATTAACAAGTTTTCATTAATTAATTATGGCATTTTTTCGTTTTTATTCTAAATTTTGATGTTTTCCCAATTTATTTCATTTATTTTTATTTTTTCATCTCTTTCATCACTGTGTTGAGATATTCCAAGATTTTTTTAAAAAATTTTCATCAAAAAAATTTATTTTAATTAATACGAAATAGATAAATGAATATTAATTCAGATTTACATTTATAGATAGAAAAAAGAAACATTCAAATAGAGCTATAGAAAACCTAAGTTCAAGTCAATAACGTATTAAAAACCTGGTTAAAGAGGATAAAAGACGAATAGCATAGCAGGAAGCTTGAACCTATAATATGCAAATCATAATGATTATTGCAAACTATTGAGAAAATTGCTAAAGCGATTTTATATTTCAATTTTTCCACTTTTTACGTAAATTTTTCGCAAATTGTTGTGCGAACAAAGGATTAAAGAAATGATTGAAAAAGAACTGTTTTATTTTAAAAATCAAAAAGGAACCCGGAAAAATCTATGAAAATTTGAAAAAAAAACGAATCGAATTCTTTGGATGTCCAAAGTTTTGTATCATTCATTTGAATTCTTAAAGGGCCACTGAATTATTTCATTTGTATTTTAATTCATTTTAATTTATGTACAACAAATTTCGCAGGCATCAGCAAACAAAATTTATATATATTTATATTTATATATATATATTTAAATTTATATTTATAGTGACTGCAAGTTTGCATACTTAAAAATTGAACATAACTGCAAGCATAGAGACCGCATTTTTAATGAACAGTTTGCTGAATACTTATTGGTCTTAACGGGGATTAAATATGCAAAAAGAATTCAGGCAAAGTGAAGCAGTACCAGTGATAATCTTTCGTTTTATTGTCATCTTATTTAATTAATCTATTCCTTTAATATTTAACCCTTATTACTTTTATTACTGTGGACAATTGTCCGGGCATGGTGGCGACTCAGTTGTAATTTCTATCGCTAGGGCCTTCCCTGGCTTATTGCCTATTGCCTATTGCCAAGTTATTCTATTGCCAGCGAAGCGAGTTAAATAGCAATGGTTAGTGCTCTTCAAGGAAAAAAGACAATTAAGGCAATCCAAGTGTGTATGTCCAGCTTCTTTATAAATATTTATAAATAAGTTGTTTATAAATAAATAAAGAGCTCTTCCAAATTTTGTTGATCCGTTCAGCCAAAATCCACTCAAAATATTTGTCGATAGAGCGAAATTAAAGATGCTACTAATAGTATTGTATATAACCTGATTTGACCTCCTTTCAAATAGAAGTGTGAATGGAGATTAAACTTTTAAGTAAATTCTTCCGATGATTGATAATGTTGTAGATTTAAACGTTTCGAATTTTCAACTTATTTCATTTTTTCAATTGAAAGATTTTATTTTTAAACGATCTAAACATGAGTTATTTTCCATAACTCTTTTATGGAGATCAAAGGCAACATTGTGACCTATGTTTTAATGAGGCCGAAATATCTCACACGGGCTAGAAATATTGCTCCTACGAAGTAACGAAAGATCGGGATTTTTTAAATCAATGCTTTATATTTATTTACCTTACCTTATATTATTAATGGACAAAGAATTGCCTTTCTTCAAACTCAGATCATTTTCATTTTGCGATGAAGATAGATTATTATCCGACTGATTTAATACAAATATTGCAATCATATCAACATGAAGATTTATAGTAGAATTCTATAGTAGATTTAGATTTATAGAATGACTTTGGTGACTGATATAAGAACAGTATGACTATATAACTACCTTCAGATTGCTGGTACAACTTAAAATAAAATCGATTCAAAATAAATCGATTTATGTATATGTTTATATATCAGTAAAAAGATATTCATTAATAAGTATAATTTGGGACAGATTAGTTCAAAAATTATCAAAAATAGTCAGAAATCTTGCGAAGAGATTTCTAAAGAGTTCCTGGACTATTGATAATATACTATTGATTTCTATCGAGAATCGAGGCTTGGTTTGGAGTCGTGGTGCATCGTTGGATTGCACTATCGCCTAACGGCGAAAGGTAAAGGAGAATGCACAGTTCGGAGCGCTGTTGCAAAAATAAGCCTGTTCAGAAATCCGGCGAGTTACCTGGGCTTCTATCGCTAAGGGATTCTCTGGCATATTTGTTTAATATGACAAGCCAGTGGAATGAGTCAAGCCAACAGTGGTGAATGCTCTTGAAATATATGTATATATATATATATATACAGTAATTTATTTATTTATTTATTATTCATTAATTTATTAATTATAGATAAATCGTGTGCGAATCAAATATTTTAGCTGTATGATTGTACTGATTTGATTACGATAAAATTGAACAACAGATTATTGTTCATCAAAATTCATTTTATTCCCATATTATCTCCTCCCTTGGTGTCACCGATTGCAGATTTTCGTGTGCATTTAGCTTTGCCTATAATATTTCTTGAAGGCGATATAGTAAGAAAAGCCGTTCTGAGCAAATGGTTGGTACAATGAATATTATTAAAGAATTCTTGAATGAACTAAATTTCTAGTAACAGTCGTATCAACCGGTTCAATGACTTTTGAATGCAATTTCATGCCTTTCTTTATAAGACTCAAAGATGAAATGAAAAGAGTTTTAAACAGTTCGTTCAAAATCTCAGTAATAAAAAAGTCACCAACATTTATAGTATAATTCAAAGAGATTAACAATGCTGTTCTAAATGACATTTCAAATAAACTTTTATTCCATCATTAAGATAATTAGTTACAATCGAGAAGTTAATTCTCATTTTAATAAATAAATAATATCAAATAATGAATAAAAAAACAAATAATGCTCAATTCTCGATTTTATCGCTGATAGTTTTACTCAGTTTTCCTTTATTTGACAGTGAGCAATATTCGAGCAAATTGAAAGAAAAAATGGAGACCAAAGAGACCATTTGGTAATCGTGCATGAAAAATATTTATCAATAAATATTTTATTTTATCATTAAGACAATTGGTTACAAGGGTAATCAATTTTATGTTCGACAGCAATTCTTTTCATTTTTTAATTTTAATTTGTTTTGGATGAATTTTTTAAATTCTTTGGTGATAATTAGTTTTTAATAATCAATTTACTATTTTATTAACACACAAAATAAACGAGATTTCCATATAAATATGCAACAATAATTTTTGAATGTTAATGATTTTAAAGTAAAAGTATTGTTTAAATGTTACGGTTTTAAAGTAAAAGTATAGCTCGCTTGCTGTATTTTGTAGATTATTTTTATAGATGTCGAGCTCTATTAGCGGCAATAAATATAGTTCATTTAAAAAAAACTAAAGAAATTAGTTGGCTGGTGGCAGCACTTTTTCCTGTCGCTGATTTCGTTGGAGGGGTATTGTAGCAATGCCCATAGGGTATGTTAAAACTGGTTAGCGTTTTTGTTTAATAATTTATATTAGAAGTTTCTATATTAAGAAAGGTTATGCGCTCTTATATCGAAAAAAAGGTTTCGCTAAGGTCATCTTAATTTTTCCAATCGTCAAAAAAATCCTAATTTGCAATATATTTCCAGCACAGAATTTCCACAGAAAGGTGAACAAAATATAGAAATGCGTAGAACGTTAAAGTTTCCACTGTAAAATTTCATATATGGCAGTAAAAATATATGGATGATTAAAAATTATTGATTACGGATTTTAATGATTAGTTGTTACAAAGTTGAAAAAGAATACAGTTCGATAAATGAAGTAAAAAAAGAGAACAAAATTAAACAAACTAAATATAAAAGAGCAAAAACGTAATTCATGAATTATTTATAAATAATAATTGTTACAATAAAAATACCTATTTCTCTCTGTCTCGCATAAGATTTGACTCACTACTTCTATTAGCTTCTAAGACGAATTCTTTTCGCCAGATAAGATGATTGTCACCAGTCACCTGTGGACAACAAGTACAGCAAGTAAACGACCTCCAGCATCACTCGCGTAATGCATATTATATTATTGTTATTTTACAATTAAATATTGTTGAGGACTTGTGGTTGACATCGTGCTCTTCGCATCATTTTTTCATCAACAGCTCATCAATTAGGCGAAACTTGGATTATCATGCAGAGACGCTGGCCAATATATTGAAAGCATTGCAGAAAACCATATGCAGAAATCGCTTATAGAAGTATTGGACATAAAATGCGGCGGGCGAGAGTCTCATGCAACCACTGATTTATATTTTGCATATTTTTCATTCTTTCTGGCACAAAAATTTTTATTATAGCTTTTTGGCATAATTCATCATCGATTTGGAGTAACGATTTTTCACGCTTTATTATCAACAAGAATTGTTCATCATTTTATTGCATCATTCGGATTTAATTATAATTTAATTTTGCCTACCTTTTGGTTATTCTATTAATTTACGTATTGCCAATTATTAAAATCTTCGGCCGATTTAAAATCGCCGAATTTTGGTGAGTTTTTGATTGGTTTTATTTTATTCTAAATTTCCCAAAGTTTTTGACGATTCATGTAAAGACAAAAGTATAAATTCAATGGTTATATCGGTAAATAAACGAATAAAATTGAAGCAGTATGAACCCGGACTTTATTTTAAATAACATTGCTGGATCGCTATGC